GTATTGAACATCTTCATCTACAATGGGTCGCAGTGTAGATTCTTGCCTGAACTTTAGGAATTACTTTATTTTTTAAATAATTAGATTGATTTTAATGTTTGTAACGGTTTTCAAGCGAAAAAAAAATCAATGTGAATGAGATTCGATCTTTGTCACAGCTGTTTCCTGAATTATTTTCATGAAAGGTGTGTAAAGGCTTGGAATTTGCAAAAATGAAAAACAGAAATGAACATTTTTGTGACAGTTTATTTAATTTTAACTTACGTTTATAATGAGAAATAAAGACTGTATTGCCTTCGTTTCTCATCCAAAAGCTTTCAATTGATAAAATATATAAATCATTCTTCAAACTATTCCCATCACAGCGCTAGCACTGCCAGGTGATTTAATTTAAAATCAAAACGTAAGAATCTAAGGTAGCTTTCCGAAATTTTGCAGACAAATGTGTTCGAAATCTTCTTCAGACAAAAGCTTTCATTTAGTATTTTCAACCATTAAGGTATCCATTTTTTTTGGCAAGTATAATTTATGAAGCATAAATAAATAAAATCATTTTTCTCCGTGAAATTTCAATATTATTGAAAACGTTACTTTGAACCATCATCTCCTAACTTCCTACACTATATTGTTAAGTTCAATAAGCAAGATCTGCTTCGTATTCTCAGTCACAAATAATTCATTGGATATATATATAATATCACTTAACAATTCATTTAAATTGTGATAAAAAATAATGTATACTTACATGTTTTGGATCTAATTTATTGCATTTGTCGAACTCAGCACTTATTTCATCTGTAACTTTATCTAAATGAAACAATAAAAACGTCAAGTTCATATCATTTTTAAATAATGGAGTTTTTTATGTTAAATTTTTTACCGCATATTATTTCTGGCCCTGATTGAGGTTGAGTTGTTTGTGCAGTAGCAGATAAGACACAAAAAGCGAAAATGATCCAGATGGCATTCATGTCTTAAATATATCTTTGAGCTGAGATACAGAAAAGAAATGAAGTTTTAAATGGAATAAGAATACTACTTCAAAAGAATCAGTAAAAATCAAAGAAAAAAATCAGTTTATAGGAATTACTTATATTTTAAAAAAATAACTTTCAGAGGAACTCGGAAATGCAGTGGAAAAAAAACAATTCCCTTGGCTTAAAATTCTTAAATCTTATCCCATATAAGTTCAAAATGTAAAGAAAGCATGGAAAAAATTACAGAACAATGAAAAAAAGGGGGGAAAGAAAATAATAATAAAAGTAAAAATAATAAGAAACCGGAAAAAAGGGGAAAAAATTAATAAATTCCGGAAAATTAAATATATAATCTTTTCATCAGCTCACACGATTAGATGAAAAGATTATATTTTTTATTTTCTGGAATTTTATTAATTTTTTTTCTTTTTTCTTCGGTTTCTAATTATTTTTATTTTTATTATTATTATTATTATTCCCCCCCCTTTTTTTTTTCTTTGTTCTGTAATGCTTTCTCTACATTTTGAACTTATTTAATGAGTTCAATTTGCTTGCAGCTTATGCGCAGTAAATGAAACTTATTGTTTTTCTTAATTTTCTTCGTGTTTGGTTTTTCTTTTTGTCCTTCTTGTACTTATATATTATGCTATATATATAGCATAATAAATGAATAACTTTTTGGGGAAATTAAATATTTAATATATATATTTAATATATATGTTACCGGCAAAGTATGAAATGATTTATATTTCACACATTGCCTAGGCATTCCATAGAATGCTAAATGAGAAACCGGCAAAGTATGAAATAAACGTCCTGATGAGGTTATTATGTAGATGATGTGCTGTAAATGATGTGCAAATGATGCACTGTGAATGACCGAAATCGGTGGTTGTTGACTTTCACCGGTGAATGTTGACAATCACATAGTCGCTTTGGTGAATGTCCGAAATATTTATTACATCTGATTTGATTTAAATTTATTCGTGGCTATAATTACATTTATTCGATATTTTGATACTTACTGACGACAGATTAGAAGAAACATAAGTATTTGGTGTATCGGGCAAATATATACCGGCAATGGCGCTTTTGACCTTAAAAAAACATCAGTGTAGGGTATACCGGGCAAATGTATACCGGGCAGTGGCACTGAACCTTAAGAAAATATCAGTGTAGGATATACCGGGCAAATGTATACTGGGCAGTGGCACTTAACTAGACCTAGGTCTAGTTAAAGGTCTAGTCATACTAGTCATCTAGTCATACAGAAAATACAAATTTTGCTTAAAAATATAATATATTACTTAGGTAGAAGTAAACTCATAAATGTGATATGTCCTTCAGGAACTTTTTTTTGCTTATTATTGTACATTGTTTGCATACTTTTCTATATTTCGGTTATGAGTTTAGGAGAAAGTAAACTCTTAAATGTGATACGGTCATTTCCACATAATGCAAAATATTTTCTTTCTTTTGTTTGTATTAATTCGTATTTTAGTTATGAGCTTCGGAGAGAAATTAATAAATGGGATAATCACATTCGGCACTTTTTACAGATTGTATAGATTGAGTTAAAAAGTAAACTCATAAATGTGATAATGATTTTTAGTACTTTTTTTTAACTGCAGGATATTTGTGTAATTCTTCATATTTGGGTTAGTAAACAAAATCCGCAAAACTCAAATAATAAAATAAAAAAAAATAGTGCGTGAAGTCCCTCCGCGCGGAAGAAGTTAAACTTCGCAACCTGCGACGTTAATTGTATAAGAATCAGCAGTCGTAGAAGGATCACTAGTTCTATTCAACGACTCTTTTTCCTGCTCCGCTCGCTTCCGTGCTCTGTAATCACGGTAATATTGCGCATTTTTCCCTCGTGGACCTCTTGAACCAGTGGAAGTGCTTGTGGTTGCCTCATCGTCTCGCCATGGAAAATGTATTTGTATTAATAATGTATGTGAATGCGTCATAATGTTATTTCAGAAGAGAAAACCTAACAATCAATTGATATTCACAAGAGACGTACCTTGACATAACCCTAAATCTGTCGCATTGTCCGTGGGATTGTTTTCACTCATTTTTTACAATTGTTATCCACTAAATTTGAAAATAAAAAATACTACCCTCTTCAAAACAAAATCCGCAAAACTCAAATAATATAATATATGTGGCATAGTACTCGAACTAAATTTCTTACTTTTCTCTTAATTTTGAAACAGGGAAAGAAAATGTATTACTTTTGCTTTTTCTAAAAAATATAATGTCATTTACACCCATTTATATACAAAAGTTAAAATGTTAATAATTTAAATATTAATTATATGTAAGTAAACTTAACACGTATTTCTTTAAAAAAACGATGATAAACGATATATATTTCGAAAAAAAAATACAAAAGTACTTGGGAACTGAATAGAACTTCTAGTTACTTAGACAACAGCAACGTAGTTCCAAAACCTCACACAAAATAAGCTAATTTATAAGTGACTAAAGCTATGAAAAAATATTCTCACATACAAAACTTTTTAAAAATGTAGAGTTCAGAGTATTTGTCATTAAATACACAGTTAACCAAGTTTAAGTATATTCTCCCTTAAAATCATTTGCACAAATCAATCTTATTCTCAATGATGATAAAAAAATAAACGAACACGCAAGAAACCAAAGCCTACATACAAAATAATAATTACAAAGAAAATATAAATTATTTCCCAAGAGAAAATACTTAATATGCTTAGCACTATTATATTAATTTACATTACGTAAAAGTAGAGAAAACGAAATGTACTTACCAAAATATCTATTCTTTTTGGAAATCTTGGTATGATCTTTGATTTTAAGTCTTTTAAATAGAAAATCTTACTGGAAAAACCTGCGATAGCTGTCAAATCCTAGAGATGTAAAGACAATACGGAGTAACAAAAGGAAAAGATTCATTATTTTCATCAACAACATGTCGTCAACAACATGTGTGTGCTCGTTTATACGCTCAAAAAAAATTTGAATTGTGTGTGCAAAACGTCATAGATTAAAAATTTCGTTTTGTGTTAAATTGTTTTAGTAATATCTATGTATATTTGGTAAGTTATCTTTTTGGTAACTATTAAAAATTATTAAATATAAAGGAATTTTTATTAGGATTTTTTTCAAAACACAGAGGGATTATTAAATATATTTCTTTGAATCTCAAATATTTTTTTCCTCTAACCCCTTACCTTAAGTACTTTAGCACTTTGATTGTTCAAAACACTCCTTGCATTAAATCAAACAAGTACATACACCAAATATGTACATAAATACGTATGCGTGAAAAAATAATATATCTATAAATAATAATAAGATATTTTTTTCAAAATAAGCAATTATTTTAGTGACGCTAATTATGAAAATGCTGACAATTTATTCCAATAAAATGAAGAAAATAATTTATATGAGATAAATAAACTTAATGTATATTAATCAAAAAATGTGCAGCGATTGTTTTAAATTTGCCGTTTTTAAAAAAGTTTTTCAACAAAAAGCTATTAAGTAGGTTTTTTTTCGTCCTAGAAAGCAGATAAATATTATAAATTACTTTTTTTAAACTTACATTTGAAGTAATTTTAACTTTGAAGCGTGGGATAAGCCTGGGACTAAAATTTTCGTAACCGAAGCATTCCATCATTGCAAAATCATAGATACGTGTATGAAAATCAGTTAACTGCAACTCACAGCGAGGCGTTAAGTGGTCGATGACATTTAGAAACCAGCATTTAGATTATTTTTGTGGTAGACACTAAGAAATTGGTCTTGTCTCTGATAATTGTACACCTGTCTATATAGCACGTCATTGGCGATTTTGTGACAAAAGTAAACGCGGGTGGCACAACTTTTTAGCGGGATTGGTTAAAGTGAAATAGCCTTTAGAATAATTTCACATTCGTTAAGAAATATGGGAGATGATTAAAACGGAGGTTTTTAACAAAGTAAATTATAATTTGTTATATTTATAATTATAAACATAAAGTTTTGCAGAAAATTTTTTATTTCTTTATAGGAAGCAAATCTTCTTTTTTTCAACAAAAATTGAAAATTGCAGTGAATTTATTTTATGTTCTTAAGTTTTTCTCCTAATTCTTTTAAGACACAGCTAATCCATATTTTTTTGATACTTCATTATAGCAACCCTAAAAAAGAAAAAATCAATATATGTATTGTATATTTGTATATATGCATTATATATATATTGTATTTATACATATA